GGATTAAGTCTGAGAAGCCGTGATACAACACTGACGTGTGATTGAAATAAGTCAGAGAAGCCGTGATACAGCACTGATTGTGATTGGATTAAGTCTGAGAAGCCGTGATACAACACTGATGGATTCATTGAAATAAGTCAGAGAAGCCGTGATACAACACTGATTGTGATTGGATTAAATCTGAGAAGCCGTGATACAACACTGACGTGTGATTGAAATAAGTCAGAGAAACCGTGATACAGCACTGATTGTGATTGGATTAAGTCTGAGAAGCCGTGATACAGCACTGATTGTGATTGAAATAAGTCAGAGAAGCCGTGATACAACACTGATTGTGATTGGATTAAGTCTGAGAAGATGTGATACAACACTGATTGTGATTGGATTAAGTCTGAGAAGCCGTGATACAACACTGACGTGTGATTGAAATAAGTCAGAGAAGCCGTGATACAACACTGATTGTGATTGGATTAAGCGTTACAATACCGACTTGTGATTGAATTAGACGAGAGAAGCCGTGACACAACACCGACTTGTGATTGAATCAAGAGAGAGAAGCCGTGACACAACACCGACTTGTGATTGAATCAAGAGAGAGAGAGAGGCCGTGATACAATACCGACTTGTGATTGAATCAAGAGAGAGAGGCCGTGACACAACACCGACTTGTGATTGAATCAAGAGAGAGAAGCCGTGACACAACACCGACTTGTGATTGAATCAGGAGAGAGAGGCCGTGACACAACACCGACTTGTGATTGAATCAAGAGAGAGAGGCCGTGACACAACACCGACTTGTGATTGAATCAAGAGAGAGAGAAGCCGTGATACAACACCGACTTGTGATTGAATAAAGAGAGGGAGCCGTGATACAACACCGACTTGTGATTGAATCAAGAGAGAGAACCGTGACACAACACCGATTTTTGATTGAATCAAGAGAGAGAGAAGCCGTGATACAACACTGACTTGTGATTGAATCAAGAGAGAGAAGCCGTGACACAACACCGACTTGTGATTGAATCAAGAGAGAGAGAGAGCCGTGATACAACACTGACTTGTGATTGAATCAAGAGAGAAGCCGTGATACAACACTGACTTGTGATTGAATCAAGAGAGAGAACCGTGACACAACACCGACTTGTGATTGAATCAAGAGAGAGAACCGTGATAGAACACCAACTTGTGATTGAATCAAGAGAATCTCTTGATTCAATCACAAGTCGGTGTTGTGTCACGGTTCTAGAAGCCGTTACACAACTACGACTTGTGATTGAATCAAGAGAGAGAACCGTGATACAACACCGACTTGTGATTGAATTAGGCGAGAGATGAAAAAACTATCTTTCAAACTACCAAACCTACTATTCATTTTCCCCTCAAAACACTTAGATTTGACACTGTGTTGTTAGGCTTGTCTCATTCAGCGAAGGTTGACACTGTGTTGTTAGGCTTGTCTCATTCAGCAAGGTTGACACTGTGTTGTTAGGCTTGTCTCATTCAGCGAAGGTTGACACTGTGTTGTTAGGCTTGTCTCATTCAGCGAAGGTTGACACTGTGTTGTTAGGCTTGTCTCATTCAGCGAAGGTTGACACTGTGTTGTTAGGCTTGCCTCATTCAGCGAAGGTTGACACTGTGTTGTTAGGCTTGCCTCATTCAGCGAAGGTTTAAAGAAAGGGTAGCGTCGTTCGTTCTACGGTTAACGAAACATTAATCATACCTGGTCATCACTATTTGTGGAACTCCCCCCCCCCCTCTCCCTACGCTTTAAGTTAAATAAATCAAGTCAGGGGTATTGATGGAGCCTGTTCATCTTGTCAGTAACTTCTGTTTTCATACCGTGTCACTATTTGTGGAAAGCGGAACTCCTCCCCCCTACGCTTTAAGTTTAATACATCAAGTCAGGGGTATTTATGGAGCCTGGTCATCTTGTCAGTAACTTCTGGTTTTCATGCCGTGTCACTATCTGAGGAAAACGGAATACTGAAACAATTTATTAAACGGTCAAACACCACGTTAATTACAGTGACGTACATTACAGTCAGTTATAGAATCAAACACCACGTTAATTACAGTGACGTACATTACAGTCAGTTACAGAATCAAACACCACGTTAATTAGAGTGTCGTACGTTACAGTCAGTTATAGAATCAAACACCACGTTAATTACAGTGACGTACATTACAGTCAG